TCACAGCAACCCATCAAAATAAAAGTTCAGTTTAACTTGAAGAAATTGTGACACAAATATTTCTTAATGTAATTATAGTACTACCAGGGCTTTCAATCGGTTCGCTCCGAGCAGAATCGATATTTTAACATTTCTGTTCCTGCGTTCCTCTGTAGTATTACCGTTCCGAAACCGGTTCGGGTAGAAGAAATACCGGTTAATAACATTATTTTTTTTTTTTACAATTTTCTTTGCCTATTATAATAAAACTCAGCACATTTTTTTCGTTCATTTTGTTAATCTGTCAATGATTTAAGTGAAATATATTTCCTGTATATGCCTATATTCCTTTTTATGTAAGCCTGTAGTTTTATTCTGTTTTCTCCGTTCACAGAAGTGGAACGATAAAATAACATTATTAACCGGTTAATGGCCATTTCAAATGTTCGATTCTGTTCGGAACTATAAAATTTGATTTAGTTTCTGTTTCTGGTTCTCTTCCTGTCAAAATTTCGTCCGTTTCCGGTTTTCGTTCCTTAAACCGGTTCTCGATTCTGTTCGGAACTATAAAATTTGATTTAGTTTCTGTTTCTGGTTCTCTTCCGGTCAAAATTTCGTCCGTTTCCGGTTTTCGTTCCTTAAACCGGTTTAGAGCCCTGAGTACTACTACAATCCGTGTATCATTCGATCATTCCTTTTTTGATTTAATATTGAAATTCGTTTTTTTGTTTTTTTCCAAAAAAGGAAAAACGAAAATTCAGCTTAAATGTTCGTTATTCGTTCATGGGTGGAAAAATGAATAAACAGCTTGAATATTCGATTTCTATACGTGGGCTGGAATTAAACGCCCCTTTCTGCTGATTGGTCAGCCGAAGATCAAACCGTGCCTTCATCAGTTCTTCCGCAGTATCATGCAGCAGAATAATAGTCCTAGTAATTTTGAAAAAACGAATGATCGAATGATACACGGATTTACTACTAATAATAAAATTATTATTAAAACATTATTTTTAAAGGAATATTTACCAGAATTTTTAGCAAAAAATGTAAATACACAACACGGTATTTCTGGAAAAAAAGTAAATAAAGAAAGAAAATAATAATAATTTAGTATTTTTCCCCAAAAATCAATTAATTAGAGATGTTTTTGATTATTAATATGTAATGAAACTATTAAAATGGAATCCAGATAATTTATGGAAGACAGAAATTGGTCAAAATAAAACTGAATTTGAGAAGAAAAAAAAACATTTCATAGGGCCTTAATGTATTTTTTTGTTAAACTTTTAATAAATTGCTGTTTAATATTGTAAGTTTCATGATTTTAATTAATTAGACATGCTTTTTAAAGAATACAATTTCATGTAACCATTAAAACACAGCCTAGAAAAATTTAAACGGAAAAAACAAAAAATCTAGAAAAATTAAAATGTAAAAAAAAAAAAAAACTGAATTTTGAAAAAAAAGAAATAAATAATGGAATTTGGAGATTTCATAGGGAGAAGGAGCAAGACACTCCTAGTTCTGAGTAATCTTGGCAGGAATCTTTTTTAAATGACCAGTCAGTCATGCTTGTTAGGCTTACTGAGCGACTAAACACAGCTTCTTAAACAAGCACATTGATACTGATAATGTTGCTGTTTGTTTTTGTGATGTTCTTCTAGTACTACTATAATCCCCATACGCAGCAGTACATGTACTGGGATGGGGAAAGACACACGTATGTTCCTGCCCCGTCACAGACGTCCGATGACACCACAGACGCTGCGGCCGCAGGAGCGATCTCTGACCTTACAGGTGCTCCCAACAGCAGCAAGGACAAGAAGGACAAGCCCAGGAATAAGACGGCACAGCAGGTACAGTCTCAGACAGAAACCCTCACTGCTTGTGAGGGTTCAGGTTTTTTAATGTGTCTTATAGAGTGAGGTTTCGAAGGGATGTGATCTAAATTGAGTATCTCTTCCTGTTGTGCTTGTACTTTTCCTCAGATCGCCAAAGACATGGAGCGGTGGGCCAAAAGTCTGAACAGGCAGAAGGAGAACGGGCGAGTACTGAGCACTAACTCTCGACTGATGGCACAGGGGAGACCCGATGACAGACGGGAATCTGCCAGCGCTGATGCAGGCTACGCCGTCCTGGAGATGAAGGTTGGGTTTTTACACGTCTGATTAATGCCAGGCTCTTAAAATGCCACCTTTTTCATTTGTATAACTGATAGTGGTTGAACGGATCGTAGCTGATCCGAATACTACCGACCTTATTTTATTTGTAACATTGTTCTGTTGTATTTATCTATGCTTGTAATTTGTGTACTTTTACTGGCTGTTCACTTGTCTCTTTAATAATGTTTGAACTTTCTTAGGCTAGGAATTTTTGCAAAGAAGTACTTATGGAAAGCAAAGTTACATTGAATATATATTTTTTGGTAATTTTCTTGCTAATCCTAAAAACAACCGATCCATGGCTCAAAAGCTCTTTTTTAACATGCAAAGCAAGGAAGAGAGCAACCTCAGGTTCTGATGGAACAAAACAAAACAAAAAACCTTGTCTTTCTTCTGGATGTTTGATGTTTTTTGTTTTGTTTTGTTTTGTTTTGTGTTTCATTTTGTTTGGTTTGGTTTGGTTTGATTACCTAATGTTATGATTTTTGGTTTCAATTTAAGTTAATTATGGATTTTGTTTCATCGTACTTTACATTCTGGTTTTATTTGTTGAATTTCCTTTGTTGGTTTTGTTACATTATGGCCTTTTTGTTTTTATCTTTTACTTTTTTAACATTATATACAAAGCAGTAAATATGTAAATATAATAGCAAAATAAATAAATAATCAGTAAAACAAAGACCGAAAAGGTGTTTAACACAAGCAAAGCTGAGACATGGCTTTGTTTTTACTTGTATTTAATTTTTGACTTGTTTCATGTGTTTGTGTTTGTCTTGTTTCCATTTTGTGCATTTTACCATGCGACTCACCGCTTGCATCTTCTATGTTGTACTCTGTTCGAAAAACCTTTTCTATTATTGGCACTGCAGTGTTATAAAAATGAATGTTTCTGTCTGCTGGTCTTGTCTCTCGGCAGAGTCCTCCTCAGGGTCTGGTGGCAGGATACAGTGGAGAGACAGACAGTGAGGAGGAGGCTGGAGAGCGAGAGGAGAGGCTGACAGACTGGTCTGCGGTCAAATTGTTCTGAAAGCCCTGATTACACTTCCTCTGATATCTAACTACCATTAAAAAAAAAACTATTTCCACTATAACTGGTATTTCTTTCTCTATAATTCATTGCTTTGACACTTTTGAAGTATTGACCTCTGGGTGGCGCTCTTCATTTTAGCTGAAATACAGGGACCGGGCAGCAGAAAGAAGAGAAAAAGGGGCCATCCCACAAGCACCAGATGCAAAAAAGAGGAGATTCAGCCCCGTGTAAGTTAAACAAGTCAAGTCATACTTCATATATACTGTCTGTTAAACGCATAGCTGTCACAGACCGAGATATTTGGGGGGTGTACTGTGGTAATACCATGGTGTTTTGAGGATAATGTCTTATTTTTGCTCTTGTTCGTGGTCAGCAGTGGCGTGGGATCTCAGATGCTTCCTGGAAGGATGGAAAAAGGCCTTTTCACTCGAAACCTGCCAGCTGAATAACGTCGGTCTTTGGACTTCCTTCAGTGCTAAACGAAATGCCTCGTGAGCAGTTTTTAATCATATGGTGCAGAACAGTGCAGCTAAGAGACCATCGTCAGAATGCGTCACAAAGATGAGAATGATGAAAATAAAATATATATTACTTTATGGGATTCAGGTTGATTTAAAGAACAACCCTCAGGACCCTGAGAAATACAAAATAAGCTTCTAATGATAGCGCACTGTTACTGTAAATACGGTCCAACTATGTGACATTCGTGGACTTTAGCCCATTGTCGGCTTCCCAGAAAGCAATTTGTGAATATTTATAGATGGCATGAATTTATGAAACACTTTGCCTTTCTGGGAAGCTGTGGAAATGATGTCAGGGTGGAAAACTGGGATAATTCAGAAACTATTTCATGTCGTTTCTTCATCTTTTTTGTCCCTTTAAGTATGATTTGAATAACAGCCATCATGAGCCCTGAGGAGAAGCTTTGCTAGAAAGTGTGCTATGCATTTGCATGTCTTGTATGACATGACAGTCTATGCAGAAATGACAGACAGCGGCTGTCTGTGTTGACTTGCACAGTAGATTAGACTTTAGTGATTATCTCAACGAAAAGGCACAGCAGATGATTATTGTTTACCTATATGAATTTTTATTAACCTGATTTGCAGTGTATATGTGTCATATTATATGACTTAGACTATATAAGCTTTATAAGATTATATAAGCTGGTGAACATTTTTTTTTTTTTAATGTGAATTTAAGGTGGACAGAGTGAATTTGTGAGTGTATATCCTTATGAGCACTAAGTGCCATTATGGTTTTTTGTTTTTTTTTGTCGTTGTTGTTTAATGCATAGATAAAAATCATGCAAATGATTTTCAGATTCTAATTTTGCTTAAATGTCATCAGAAAAGGCTGAAAGCCCATTTTGGTTGACAATTTTGTTTAAAAAATGGTTCCTAATGAAAAATGATTAGCAGCTTTTTTTCCTTCATTAGTTTGTGAATATAGAACATGACATTTTGAAAGGATTTCAGAGGATTTTTTACATTTATGTCTAAATGAAGTAAGAGAATCTCACCAAACCTGTCAAGAATGTCTCTGGGTCTTATTTCCCCAAATCAAAATCATAAGAAAATACCGATTTACTCAATTTTATTTAATTAAAAAGAAAATTGAGCTTATTTTTAGAGTGGTTAAGATTTTTCATATTGTAATGTTAAATTATTTTCATTCTAGTTAAGCATTTTATGTGGAAAAAAATGTGAAAAATACTGTTGCGTGAAATAGAAAGCTTTTTTTTTTCTTTTGTTGTATTTTACTTTATTTTATATATATATATATATATATACATACATATATATATATACATACATATACACATATACGTACATATACACATATATACATATACATATATATACATACAATTGAAGACAAAATTATTAGCCCACTATATGAAATTTAAATTATTTTTCAGATATTTCCTAAGTGATGTTTAACAGAGCAAGGGAATTTTAACACTATTTATTATTATATTTTTCATCTGGAAAAAGCCTTATTTATTTCAATTTGCCTGGAATAAAATAATTATTTAAAAAATAAGAAAACTGCTAAGGTCAATATTATTAGCCCCCTTAAGAAATTATCTGTTTGACTGGCTACTGAAAAAACCACTGTTGTCCAGTGATTTGCTTAACTAACCTAACTTGCCTAATTAACCTAATTAATCCTCTAAGCATTTAAATTGCACTGTAAGCTGAGGATTAGTATCTTGCAAAACAACTAGTACAGCTCCACTTTTGAAGAAGAGACACCTCCAAGCTACACTGACATTTGAAGGACAACCTGGAGAAAAATTATGCATACTGGAAAGGTCCTTCGGTCAGATGAGACAAAACTAGAGCTCTTTGGCCACAGAGATGTTGCCTATGTTTGGAGAAAGAAGGGAGAGGCGCTCAACTCAAAGAACATGGAGGTGGGAGTGTAATGCTGTGGGGATGTTTCCGTGCATTTGGAACTGGGAATCTCGTCAGGATCAAAGGAGTCATGAAAAAGGAAGACTACGAGAAGATTTTGAAAGGCAACTTCAAGCAATCTGCAACAAAACTTGGTTTGGGTTGACGTTTTGTCTTCCAGCATGATAACGACTCAAAGCATACCTCACTTCCGGTGAACCTTTTTTTTTTTTTTTGCTGTGAAATATGACATTGTGAGACATTTCTTTGTGAGATTGACCCATACAGGTCATTGTGATACAGTGACCCCGTAACCTTCTGGAACTTTTGCAATCAGTGAATGTGTCCCTCAACCACAAATGTGTGTGTTGAAAGAATACATTTGCACAATACAGCTTCCTGTTTTGACATCAGTTCAGCTTGTTCCGTTATATTATTTATAGGCCGCAATATACACTAATTTAGGGTCTCAATTCCCAAATGCATATAAATATGTATATATATGTGTGTGTGTGTGTGTGTGTATGTGTGCAGTGTTTTAGTCATTTTTAATGTTTCTAGAGTGAGCCATGTTTGAATAAAGGCTTTTTAACATTTTGGAACTGGAAGAAGTGCCTTGGATCCGTAGTTTCTATAGATATAATTTTGAACCCAACAAAAGAGCACCTTCTGGGACTATGAAACGGAGGTCCTTTCAGCAAGTAGCGCTCCAAGATGTTTTCTTTGCGATTTTCTCAATATTTAGATTTTTTTTGCACCCTCAGATTCCAGATTTTCAAATAGTTGTATCTCGGCCAAATATTGTTCTATCCTAACAAACCATACATCAATGGACAGCTCATTTATTCAGCTTTCAGGTGATCTCAATGTGTCAAAAAATTGACCGTAATGACTGGTTTTGTGGTCCAGGGTCACAAATGTCTTGGCCAGGTGCAAGATCAAAGGGTACATAAAATAAACAGTGTATTTAAACATCAAAGTAAACAGTGTTTGCCTGACGAAGGTCTTTGACCGAAACGTTGCCACTTTTAACTTTTTTGAATAAAGGGAGAATAACAGTGTGCGCATCTTTTTTCTATTATTTTATAATATTGTGAACCATGACAAATGTTTGGAGTATATGTTTGTGTTTAACTGAAATTAATACTTTTATTTATTATTATACATTATAATGATCAAAAGTGACAGTAATCACACTTATAATGTTACAAAACATTCTATTTTAAATAAATACTGTTCTTTTGAACTTTCGGTTCATCAAAGAATCCTGAAAAATGTTTCCACAAAACATTAAGTAGAAAAAACAACGGTTTTTACCATTGATAATAAGAACCATTATTAATAACTGAGCACCAATAATAACTGAGCAGCAAATCAGCATATTAGAAAGATTTCTGAAGGATCATGTGACACTGAAGACTGGAGTAATGATGCTGAAAATTCAGCTTTGATATTCTTAAGAGACTTCATTAAAAACATTCATAGAATTATAGCTTCTTTCTTGGTGTCTCTGTGTGTCTCAGGCTGCATGTCTTAGATTTTTGTGGGGAAGCTGTTGATTAGTTTTATTACTCAGTGAAATAGCTGTGCTGCATGGGAAGTCATGCATTCAGCTCATAAGCTGGGCCTTGTACCACAACACAGGCTGTGTTCAAGAGCTAACACGGCAAAGATTCTTGTCAGGGCAAGACTCCTGTAGCAAAGAGACTGTTGAGATAATTATATTACCAGTCCTGCAGCAAATGAACCTGCTACATACAAACATACGGTTGACATGGCAGCAGCATAAACTATTAGCAAGTGAAGTCTTGTTGGCTGTCGAACCAGAATGAATCATAAAAAGGTCGTTAGATTAAGCGTCCTTGGAAAAGCATCTTCGATAATGTCCAATATAAGCAAATGCGGGTAGGAAATGCCTGTCAAGACGTGTCCGAACACTTCCTGTCAGCATTTCTCTTTATGAATCGACCGAGTCTGAGTCAGTTTTGCATCTGTAACTACAGAAGTGCAGTTTGAGAATGATGTCGTAATGTAAAAAGACGTAACAACTGATTACACACCTCGTTTTTTTATTCACATCCGGCTGGAAAATGAAAGACTTATGTTTTCAAGGAATGACTAGTTCATGGTTTCCAATGAAAGGTGTGCTTGGTCAGTGTTCACATTCAAACACTTACACTTTAAAAAAAAAAACACCAAACGACTTTCTAAAACGTGTGCTTTTACATCACATGCTTCTAAGCCACAAATACAGACACTACAGGAAATACAATCAGATTGACACATTCAAAGCAGGAGATCTGGGTGTTCCTACATGGCACATGGGCGTTTCGATCAGGCTTAAAGGAATGTTTCAGACTCAAAACAGGTTGAGTTTGATCTGTGACAGCTAAAAGACAAAACAAAAAAACAGTAATGCATTTACAATGGATGTGTATGGAACTGGACACTGCACTGGGTTAAACAGAAAAATACACAAAAGTACTTCATAATTTAAAGGTATACAACTTACAAAAATAATACATCAACACAAGACTAGGTTAAAAATCGCAATAACACTTTACAATAATTTGTTAATATTAGGTAATGCATTAACTA